AGCACTCCACAGGAGGGCGTAGCCGAGGAGGATGGGCGGGGGGGGGGGGGGGGGGGGGGGTGTTGCTCCCCGTCAAGCCCCCTTAGGCTCAACAAATTCGAATTTACTCCAATAACAGATTTTTGACCTATTTTAAAGAAAACAAAAACAATTATAGTCCGTGGGACGAGGCCTTTTTTCCACTCGCCACGCGGTCTGGTTCACCGAATTTTATGAATTGTCACAGACATGTAGATTATGGTGTACCATGTCGAAAAAAACTTTGTTTCCCAATCCACAGTTGGTTTAGGAATGAGAAAATCTGGGATAAAAACGCCGAAAATATTACATGAAAAAAAAACAGAAGAAACAGTGCCCCCTATTGACACAGTCAGAAACCTTTTCTCACGTAATGGCCGTCTGACTCCGAGCTCGGGCGGTCTGATCAGAATAATATTTTGTGAACTCTTATCTCAGAGAAACATGTTTTTAAAAATAATATAAGTGCGTGGCATCTCGTGGAGCAACTGAAACATCTTTAAAAAATGTTATTCCTGATGTTAAACAATTAATACAAATTTGATGCAGCCTCAAAAAAGGAATCGGGTGGGCCGTTGGGTTATTTGTGGTTTCACGGAATGGACGGAGCAACAACAAAATAATGAATCGCTTTTTAAAACAATATTCCAAATAATAAAAACGGTACAACGGTTTCGGGTGAAACAAAGTGCAATTGTAATGCTGCCACTCACAGCTTCTAAATAGGGGGACATAAATGTATTTTCTCTTGTTAAAAAAGTTGGCAAACAATTTGATGAGACTTTTGATATGTTATAGGGTAAGTGCAGGTAATATGGGACCATTAAGCTCATTTACATAATTTGCATAAAGGTAGACAAAGTCATTCAAAAGAAACATCGGTTATTGGAATCAACACCAACTACTCTTCCTTTTGATGCAACAATTTATACCATGTTGTATCCATTATGACAGTTAGGTGCAAAGTATGACGTCATCACCAAAGGTAATATGGGACGGTGTATGCAGGTAATATGGGACACTGTGTGCAGGTAATATGGGACGGTGATTCTAAGACATTGCAGTGATATTTAAATTCCTTGGGACGATGTTTGGATGGCGTTTCAGAAAACCAACAAGCCAGTAGCGCCCAGCCATTTGCTTTTTAGTATTGAACTGATGGGAGAGAGAGTTCTCTTCTGCATATTCATAAGCCAGTGCACGAACATCTCGACGGCTCAGTCCATATCCACGTGCCTCCATCTGAAGAATTACATCTACTAACTCATCTTCACTTTCTCCTGTCAAAGTTGGCTTTCTACCAAGATGTTCCGAAGCATTACCCTCTTTTAACTTTCTATGCAGTGTTGACTTAGGAACATTGTATGTATTTGATGCAATCCTTAGGCCCATCTCTTTGGCTTTGCATGCACTGATGGCCATCTGCATGTCTTCAGGTGACCATGAAGCCCGGTGTGCTTAACGAACATACATGTAATGCACTGGCATCTGAACAAAAAGGATTGCAAAAAGAAAATATTTAATGTACAGATTAATAATTCTAAATTATATCACTTATTATAATGGCCTAACAAATAGAAAAATAACACCCCACAGTAAGTCCTTACACAAATCTCCATGGCGGGTAACAAACCCTGTATACCATTTTGGATTTCCCATTTTACCTGCACCTCGTTGTGACACGGGAGCTCCCATTCAATGTTTAATAAATCCTTAAACATTTTTACACAGTTCCCCACACGCTCAACACGCTCAAAACACTTCATAAAGTTCCTAAATATTACAAGAATTCAGCTTACCCCGGACTGTTCAACAATTTCAGCATACTTTGTAAAATATCTATTTTTAGATCAGAGAAATCAATACTGCTAACTTCACGTACCTTGTCCAATTTAAGTGGTCTTTTTCAGTACAATTTCAGTTCGTCTATCCATGTTTGCAGTGAAGGCAATGATCTTTTACAACTATTGGGGGCGCTATTTCTTGCCGCCGAAGGTTTACAGTTGAACAGGCGCCGATTTTATTTCATGCGCCCCATAATACCTGCACTAAACCCAACAATTATCTAATTGGCCTGTAATGTATACAGTGCTCATTTTAGCTTGTTAATCGTCACCGACACCACGAACTGACACCCTCTGCATCACATGTGTACACCAATGTTAAAAGTTCAAATTTTCTTTTTTGCACATATTAGCAGTTTGTATCATGAAGTTTAACATGACGAGGTTAAAATTGCTGAAATCATCTAAAATAAGCAAATTTTACTAATGAATTTTCAAGAAATTGGTCAATTCTGGTATTTTTTGTTACCACGAAGTGACCCTGCACAGGGTGTCAGTTCGTGAAAACCAAAATTAACGTGTTTTCGGAGAGTGCGCGCATGTAATAGCGTTAGGGAGTGTCAGTTCGTGAAAACGAAAATTGACGTGTTTTTGGAGAGCGCGTGCTTCGCCTCGTACTTGGCTGCGAAGCTAGATTCCCCTCCCCCTGAAGACTGCTCAATGCCATTCTTCATAACTACAGTCAGGCCGTAATTCATACCGTCAATTAATCAACATGCTCCACTGATTAGTCGCAAGGTCACACAAAGGAAGCATCATCCACGTATACTCCAAACATTCACTGGATGAGGCATCAGAGAAGACATCTGGAAGCAACCTGGCGCAGAAGTGGTCTTGATTCTGAACGCCAGCGGTATATGGATAAAAAAAAAATCATGTGTCACGCGCTCTGTATCATGTTACGCGATTACAAAACACTGCATTTGAATTGACCAGTCGAACCATTTTGTCCTAATTTGGGAATGAAATGTCGTCACAATTTAGTAAAGTCGACTCCGATTGACTGGCGCTGCAAATATATCTGCATTTATAGACATATCAAACGTTATACAGGATACTTTTGGCTCCGTGGATAACGGGTGATACTCAGACTAGCAGTGGGCGGAACTTAATATACCTGTTATATACTTCATAATGTTCATGTCACATTATGTAAAAAGAACAAAAAAAAAAAACAACAACAACAAAATCATCAAAATCATGAATATAAGGTTCTCTCACGATTTTCCTCTTTATTCTTCAGGGGGATACATCATTTTCAATGTGCGTGGAGAAAACCTCATCATTGACGACGTTTTCAAGAACGGCCAGTTGGATGACGTCATTCACAAGATAGCCGCCAAAGGAAAGATTATATATGACCATACGTGGGGCACGCGTGGTCTAGCGGTAGAGCACAGGATTCATGATCGAGAGGTTGTGAGTTCAAGCCCCATCATGGCCATGCGTGTTGTACCCTTGAGTAAGGTTCTTACCTTAATTACTCCTCTCTCATGGGACCGGCATTATTCAATGCTGGGAAGGTAACAAACTCGCTGTGGAGGAGGTGTGGCGATCCCCCCCCCCCCCCAGCAGCATATGAATCTGGCCCAATCGCCAAACGAAAGAGAGATGGGCACTAATGAACACAGGTTCGTCCATTTTTTATTCTTCTTTAAGAAGAAGTGGTAAAATGTACATGCAGTGCAAATGCAATGGCAAAACCGAGTACTGCTACGCGTTTGTTTTGAGGGTGATGCGAAATAATGTACAACCCACAACCCAAGCGGCTATACAGCAACTTCTCGAACCCTCTTTCCTGCTTATGTTTGAGTTGTTGTTGCTTGGTAAATAGAGATTGGCTTTAATGGTTGGATGATACTGAGAGGTTAAATAACAATTTTTAAACAAATAATAAATTCAAAATGCTCCTATTATATGAACACCATTATATAGGGCCCCACTCGACTCCCATGAAAATGATCGCATTCCATTTTCTGTCTTTTATCATTTTTGTACTTGAGGTGGAAATAAATTCAGATTTTGTCAATGGAGATAATTGTGATTTCACATTGAATTGTAATTTTTATTCCTCCGACCGAAGCGATTTAAAAACTAAATAAGTGCCCCCTATGAGCCCCTGTACCATTATTCAAAACTCTCCTGATACATAGAGTTTACGAGATCTTGGCTTCGTCACACATTCGGCTGCAGTCAAGCTTCATCGCTTGACTGAAAGTGACAAACCGCAGTAGACAACGTCGGTCACCTTGCTACTGTCCAGACAGCAAATTCGAACAAGGCCGATGGGTTTTTTATTCTCGCTGGATAGTCTTTTACGTGCCAGCGACCGGGGCTAATGGTGTCGTAGTCTTGTTCCCAGACCAAAAGATTCCGACTATTCCTGATGAATCTTAGGTCCGGTAGCCTCCGGTAATACAATGTATTACAATTTACGTCACGTGACTAAAACGGGAGGAATTCCTTCTTTTTCCGAAAATTTCCGAAGTTTGCCGAAGTCGTTTCGTCGACAATCGGATAGCGCCCGAGTATTTCCGAGTATATAATATAGGTTTAATTAACTGCTAATTGCTTATTAATTTTATTTTTAAATGAAGTGATTATTAATATTCATTGTTTTCATTTAGAAAACTTGAAATTCAACGACGATTTTGTGCATCAAATATACTCGGATCATACGGGCGAACTTTTTGCTGCGTCATGTACAATTTTTAATTTGACGACCGTTACCGAGATTTTCCAAAACTCGGTCTTCTTTCGGCTCCGCCTGCTAACAGTGCTATTTGGTTCCCTAATTCTGAAGATTCCAGATCAACATTTACTCAATGTTATCTTACAAAAACATCAAACTGTATTATCATAACTGTATGATATTACGAAGCAAGTGATTTATTTAAAGATTTGATCAGAACATTAAAAGCTACAAGTGATAAAGCGAAATCGGAAACGAAGCCGCGCTTTGAAAAAGGGTCATTAATGTCGTCATGTTTATTTTTAGCCACGGAGGCTGCCTGACCTACAATTTAAGACGTGAGCGTCGGGAATAATTGTCAGGTCTGGGAACCAGACTAATGATGTCGGGCCAGTACACAAGCAAAATGCAAGGACAAACGTTTCATAGGCCTACATACACGGAAGGGTCAAAAAGTGCGTGCACAAAATACTACGTGTGATACTTAATATGCAACGGGAAAATGAAAATGGCTACGCCGCCTACTCTGCAAACACTATCGAAACACAAATATCATGAAGCCTATAGAGTGTACAGTAGATTGAGCAACAGAAAGAAAAGTCTAGTCGAATGGTTCCGTGGAAATACACATTTGTTGGCCGACGCCATTGCAGTGTCGATGTCACAGGATACGGAATTGAAACTGCTTAGTGTTGGAGGAGGGGACGGTGCGTATATATATATAATTAATATTAGGCCTACATTCTCACATATTTATTGGTTTATTTGTTATTTAGCAGCTTCGTATAGTTGCCTTTGAGAAACATTCTGCCCTAAACAAAAACTGCATAGCTTCGTGTTTACATTTTGATAGTTTATAAGCAGTTTGCTGCAGCTTATGTTAACACAAAGTCAGTAAAAAATGCATTCCGCTATAAAAGGTATAGCTGTCACGGCTAACTACAATATATGGGTCTAGTAACAATTTGACTGGTTTTACGTTAGCTGTGCATGCGTTTTCATCCTGTGTATAGTCCGAGTAGCTAATAAGACTCTACGAATCGCCTGTTTTAACATTTCCCTTACGAAAATGTCCTGTGGTATTACTTCTGTGGTACATATGTTTACTACAGAAATTACCACAGGAAAAGTATATATGACCAGAGTACCACACACATTTATGTGGTAATGCCGATGCTGTCCTGTGGTATTCTTGCGGTACATGTAGGTACCACACGAAGTACCACATAGCAGTCCCTTACAGAAATCTCCCATGTAATTCCCATGGGAAATTTTCCCATGGGACCCCATGGGAATTGCATGTTGAATTGGACACCATTTAGCATGGGAATTTTTCCCATGGGAGTTTTCCCATTGGCTTTTTCCCATTGGAAATTTTGTATGGGCTTTTTCCCATTTAGTTTCCTTTCATTTCTCAAAAAATTATTGCTCCATGGTAATTTTCAATAACATCTTCCTAATTCCTTTGCATTTTAACCCTGTGTATTAAGTACTTTCACCAAATAGGTAAAGCACATCACGGAACTCCGATGGGGGTTGTTTCACGTAATAGGAGTGGCTTGTGCTCTCTATGAGTAAATCCGACATTATTGCTCCCATACCACTTGTCAAGTTGTACCATATTAGCACAGTGTTCCCAATTTATTTTCTCATAAATGTTTCCAACCATAATAATAAATGAAGCAATATTATCCAAAGTTTGAATGACACATTGTCCACATAAAAAAATACTGTATGCATCATTTAACTTCACTTATCAACAGAAAAATTCAAAAATGTGCAATTACAACACTCGCTATTGTAAGCGATTCTCACAAAAATGTCCCATGGTGGTCCCATGGTGTCCCATGGTGTTCCCATGGTGTCCCATGGTGTTTATCCCATTGTGTTCAATTGGTGAACATCCACAGGAGTTTCCCATGGTCAGCTTAACAAATAGAATTCTTGATAACCTCTATGGCCACAAGGGAAATATTTTTAATTGAATTCAAATCTACAGCTAGGCGAATAAGTAATTAAATCAAAGAAAGGTTTGCCTATAACTTGGGAGTGCAATTGGGTCTATGATGGTTTTTCATGGCACATGCATGTTCTCCAGTATAACCCGGCAGTGTCCCCGTGCTGCCTTTTAAATCTCCATGGTGTTCCCATTGTATCCATAATTTATATCACCCACATTATGGTGTTCCCATGGCGTCCGAATCCTCATGGTGTACCCATGTGTCTAAAATCCCCATATCCTCATGGTGTACCCATGTGTCTAAAATCCCCATGATGTTCCCATGGTGTCCAGTAAATCCCCATGGTGTTCCCTTGGTGACATACAATCCAATGGTGTTCCCATGGTGTCCATAAAATCCCCATGGTGTTCCCATGGTGTCCATAAAATCACCATGGGGTTCTCATGGTTTTCCCATGGTGTCCATAAATTCCCATAGTGTTCCCATTGTGTTCATTAATTCCACATGGTGTTCCCATGATGTCCATAAAATCCCCATGGTGTTCCCATGGTGTCCATAAAATCCCCATGGTGTTCCCATGGAGCTCATAAAATCCCCATGGTGTTCCCATGGTGTTCCCATGGAGCTCGTAAAATCCCCATGGTGTTCCCATGTTGTCCATGCAATCTCCATGGTGTTCCCATGGGTTTCCCATGATGATCATTTTAACTTACATGGTGTTCTTGATGACCCCATGGGTTTCCCATGGGGTCCCATGGGAATCCCATGGGACCCCATGGGAATCCCATGGGATGCTCATGGGACATTTCTGTAAGGGGTAGGATTTGAGAATTGGATGAGAGTACCACATAAATGTGTGTGGTACCTTCGATATCCTGTGGTACTTCTGTTGTACTTACTAAATACCACATAATTAACTACCACAGGTCAGTGGAATTGGATGAGACTACCACATAAATGTGTGTGGTACCTTCGATATTCTGTGGTACTTCTGTTGTACCATGCTAAATACCACACACACAAAATGATATATTTAGGCCGAATAAAAAAATGTTTCTCGTCCGGAATTTTGAAAAAAAAGGAGGAAGCTTAGAGGGGCTTTTTATTTTGTATTATTTATTTTTTTCAAGATGGCCGCCATTTTAAAATTTCCTGCAATCGTTGGTGTTAGTCCACTGTTCAAAGACACTTTTAAAATGAAAGACAAGTTGGACAAGAGAACTGAACATATTTTCAGTCATTTAGAGTTGTATTGGTCTACAACGAACAGTTTGCATATACTTTAACCTTGTTCTGTGTTCTTTACTGCATTTTTAAAAATAAAAAAATAATAAAAAAAATCCAGGCGGCCTCCAAAAAGGAAGCGGGCGGGGACGAGGAACATGTTTGTTTGTTTTTTACTTCGCCTTAGTTACATATTTTTGCAAATTTAAAAAATATGATAGTTATAAATATGCTACCACATGAATTACCAAAGAAAAAGAGATTACCATCCAATATACAATGTACATAAATTATAACTAAAACACAAATAAGAACACACCGTCATAAAAACATATATGAACAAATATTGCCCCAATATGTACTGAACAGTATTTGTACATAAAGCCCATGCATACTTGTACATGTGTACATGTACATGTACAGTACATGTACATTGCAGGGTACACTGTATCCTGTTCCCCACAACCACATGTGTGACCTTGTGTGCCCTGTGCAGTGCGTGACCCATGCATGACCCACGCGTGATTCCATATACACAGTGTATTAACCATGCAGGGGTCAGGTTTCACGAAAAGTCACCCACACAGCTCCTCCACTGCACTAGCACTGATCGCGTGGGAAGTTTGAAAACCAGTACAGGTTGAAACTTTGAATCACACTTCACAACACTACAAGAAGCAGTACAGATGTGCGTGGGGCTGGACATGGCAGAATTCAAAACTGAATATGTGTATAAAATAAGTGCCTCACTTCTGCCTGTAAGCAAAGATCAATTGCCAGTATAATATACTGTGTTACTGTGAGCTTGAACATACTATAGTAGGAGGCATGTTAAGTTTTCTGGATGATGAAAACTGGACCGAGTGGATCGAGTCATGCTGAATGGGTCTTGCAGTACGTCTGTTCATGGAGCTATTTTTTTATAGCTCCATGGTCTGTCTAATGTACCGGTAAGTCTGAATTATGATGTCTCTAGCTAGTGCCAATGTAGGAATTTGTTTCAAGACATTTATGTGGATCAGTTAGGAATTCCCATTACAACTTCATAGAATCAATTCCAGTCTGGACAGTTTGCATCCTCGCACATTCAACATGGAAGCTTTTTTTGAAAAATCCCATGCTCTTTATAAACCGTGTCACATATGACTTGATGACAATGCTGTATTTGTTCAGCGCCATCTTTATTATCAGATCTGCCTCATCAAAAGTACAAACTGATTTGACTGGAAATTTAAAAGGTGTAAGAAGCTATTGTTCATGAAATGATACCAAAAATTAAGATTTAAACATAGTAAAAGTTAAATGCAAACTCATTACTTTATATATCAAGTATGGTACTTGAATTTCAGTAACACAATCTGCTCATGACCTTGGGAAATTACTCTCCTGGTTTAACTTCTGCATCCATAAATTACACACAAGTTAATAATCAATTCAGAGGATGTTACCTCAAATATTTTATACGTAAGTGATTAGTTGTTGCATGCACTCTTTGGTATTATTACAAACGTTGACTGTTCAATTTTTTTTTTAATATGAAACGTATATTACAGAAATGTACAAAAATGTTTTTGAGTTTGACTGCAACTAAAACACAACTTAAAAGGGAAACTACATCTGCTCATTTTTTTCCTTTGTTGAACACCATATTGATTCATACAAACTAACAAGTTTGTTTCTTTTCTTTTCCAGCTTTCCTGACTTAATTCCCACAAAAGATGTTGGTACATGTGAAGAAGAAACCATGGACATTCTACCTCAAGGATCCCGTTCAAGTGGAAACAATGGAATCCCATCCAGCAATTACCACAGGAACATTAATACCGCAGGAACATTATCAAATATACATTAATACCACAGCTGCAGGAACAGGCACTGCAGAAACTAACAAAGGAACATTGCCCCCCCCCCCCCCGGCAACATTGCCACAAAACATTATACCATGGTCAATTTACCGAAGGAACATTTAGTTACCACAGGAACATTTACCACAGGAATAATATCAACGTTCCACAGGAACATTTACCACAGAAATAATAACAAATGTACCACAGGAACATTACCACAGGAATGTACCACAAACAAGTACTACAGGAATGTTACCACAGGAATATGTTACCACAGGAATATGTTACCACAGGAATATAATTACCACGGAATGGTACCACAAGAATATCACCACAGGAATTGTACCACAGGACTGTTACCACAGGAATTGTACCACAGGAATGTTACCACAGGAACAGTGCTGTGGTAATGTCAAAAAACAACAACAAGAACTTTCCTGTGGTAATGTCCTGTGGTACTTTTTTTGTGGTAATACCACAGGACATTTTCGTAAGGGTTGGACACGACCGGGCGATATAGTAGAGTCCTAGGATTAGCCATTGATCAATGTGGCCAATTTATTGGACTACCTTCGTAAATAAAGGCCACACGTCCACCATGTACAAAAACATGTCGAACTTTGTCCAATGTTGAGTTTCACATTTAGGCTAAGTGTTTAGTTTATTTTGCTTTAGAAGCATACTCGCCCTCTGTATAGGGTAATCAAAAAGTGCCGACTTTTTTTCAGATGTCTATTTTTCGTGAAATTTCCAGATTGGTTTGCACACTTTTGCGTATCAACACTTTAAAATGATATTTCACGAGAATTAGACTTCCGAAAAAGGTAGCACTTTCTGATTAGCCTATAAAGAGGGTGAGTATGCTTCTACACCAAAAACAAACTACAAACTAAGCCTAAATGTGAAAATCTAAATTTGACAAAGTTCGACATGTTTTTGTACATGATGGAAGTGTGGCCTTTATTTACGGAGGTAGTCCAGTAACTTGGCCACATGGGGCTATCCATAGTGACCGTTTTAGCCGATTTTCGGCTAACTTTGACGATTTTTTTGTTAAAAAATGAGTTTGACGGAAAATTTGACAGAATTGATTTTTTTTGGTAGATTTCTGGCAGAATTCTGCAAAAATGGTTATTTAACAGAAAAACATAACAAATTTGAAAGAAAGGTAGATTTGTTTAGAAAAAACGTCAATCTTTTCAAACGAACCCTTGCAAAATAGGACAGGTTGCCTTGTCTATGTTCTGAGGTTCACTGGGAATCAGATTTCGTCTTGACGAACCTTGTTTTGACTTAAATTTACGCAATTTCGTAACACCTTTATATGACTATAGATTGTTTATAATGTAATTTGAATCTTAATTAAGGCAATATTACAACATGTCCATTTGATTTTAAGTGTTTATAGTGTATTTCGAGTAATTCATGGGAATTTGGCAGATTTTTGATAAATCTAACAGATTTTTAAAGTGCCTTTAGCAGAATTTGGCCATGACCTTACGGTCACCCTGGGGCTATCCTAGGATCGTATAGTATTTCGCGTTTACCGATAGTTTTGTTTTGACCATTTTCGATCCCCCTATCAAAATCTTTAGATTTCAACCCCAAACAGTCCTCAAACTACCTGATGCGCCTGAAGGCCTATACTTATCATAAAAGCTCACACGACGAACCTTGAATGAAGGGTAGCAACCACTGGATCTTTTGTCATGACGATCGAAGTCCCCTCTCGCTTTTCGTTAGCAATTAAGCCACGGGCATGACGGGAGTTGTTTTCTCGCCTTTAGTTCTTGGCAAGTGTTACTGTCTTTTTTGTCGGCCTTGCGATCCTGAAATAAGACGGATGTTTCTCTTGATCAGCACGACCGTGCAATTGGTTGTTGACTACAAATGACTACGGTACAATAATTCACCACCATTTTGAAATGTTTTTGTGAGTACTAAGTCAGCTCCGTCAAATGCGGTGCATTCACTAGCACAATACTGTACAGAAGCGCGAGTTTGCTTTGTCCTTCAGCTCACATTTAGGTCGCACACTTTTACCTTTCGACCCACAGTGAAATCCCACTAGACGTGGTATAATGTTATATTGCTCACCATCTTATAAACGAATTATTCCATCCACAGGTCATGTGGAAAGGCAGATCTTGTCCTGTCTCAGAGACAGTTTAGGATATGACAAGATGAATGTTACCATTGTCGAGCCGGAGGCAAGCAGCATTCAACGCTTTCAGGATGTAGTTGCTAAAGAGCCTCTATGTGGCGTCAATTTCGACTGGAGATGCCAGCCTTTTCAAAAATACGCGAAATCCGAAGAGGCGATGAGCGACAAGTTTCACATCATAACTTGCATCAGTAGTCTTTACTTCTTGGGAGACTTGGACGAGGCTTTGACAAATCTGTACGGCAGACTCGAGGATGGTGGTATTCTACTACTTGGGGTGTCACAAGGTGGGCCTAAATACTGACGTGCGCGCATTAATTCACAACTGCGCGCGTGTGCACGAGCGCCCACGTCGGTGCGCAACCGTGCGCACGGCACATTCCAAATGGCACATTATTTTAATTAACCCAACCTCGTGCCCCGTGGGTACGATCTTGCAGCGCCTTGTTGTTTCCCATCATGCCTTGCGCGATCGTAACCCCTGGAATTGTGTAATTTAAATATACCAAAATACGGTACATTATAATTAGGGCTGCAGTTTATCCGTTTTACGTGCCGACGCCATCTTAAAAATGTTAAAAGTTGTGATTTTGAAGAATCAATCCTTTCAAACACAACGTTTGGACGTTGTGTTAATTAGCAAAGATTTGTATGTACTACCCCTTTCGTGCCTTTACAACTAGTGACAACCACAGATACAGGGGGATTTTTAGCGAAAAACGCGGCTGACATAATCCATATCGTACAGGCTTCGCGACTTTTGAATCATAATTTTTTTTTCGTACGTGACGTTACGTGCAAAGCTAAGCACGCGAGCGCGAGCGCATTATGGGCGCGTCCGGCGTGCAATCTTCGAAATGCCCGCGCAGTACGCTGTGAATAGCCATTCAGTGTCATTTACGTCATCGTCACAGCCAGGGGTTAGTGTAAGGAACGAGCACGCGCCCCTAGAGTCGAGGCTGTAATTAACCCGAAGTATCTGCACGCGCGAGACAAGTCTGGTTCCCAGGCCTGACAATTATTCCCGACGCTCACGTCTGAATTGTAGGTCAGGCAGCCTCCGTGGCTGAAAATACACATGACGATTTTGACGGCCCTTTTTCAAAGCTCGGCTTCGTTTCCGATTTCGCTTTATCACTTATAGCTTTTAATGTTCTGATCAAATTTGTAAATAAATCACTTGCTTCGTAATATCATACAGTTATGATAATATAGTTTGATATTTCTGTAAGATAACATTGACTAATGTTGATCTGGAATCTTCAAAATTAGGCACCCAAATAGCACTGTTAGCAGGCGGAGCCGAATGAAAACCGAGTTTTGGAAAATCTCGGTAACGATCGTCAGATTCAAAATTGTACATGACGCAGCAAAAAGTTTGTATGCACAAAATCGTTGAATTTCAACTTTTCTAAATGAAAGCAATGAATATCAATTATCAACCCATTAAACAAAAATTTAATAGGCAATTAGCAGTTAATTAAACCTAACGAAACGAAATCGGCAAACTTCGGAAATTTTCGGAAAAAGGAGGAATTCCTCCCGTTTTAGTCACGTGAAGTAAATTGTAATTACCTGAGGCTACCTGACCTAAGATTCATCAGGAATAGTCAGAATCTTTTGGTCTGGGATCCAGACTAGCGCCAGATGTGGAACTCAACTGAGCGTGGGCATGTGATCCTTGTAGCAATGCTGGATTCTATTTGTCATTTTTCACAGTTATGCACTTGAGCAATGTTGTAGTAAAGACTTGTTGTCGAGTACTTTTTCCGAGTACCGAGTACTGCCGAGTACTTAGGTTGCCGAGTACGAGTAAGAGTACGAATACTTGTACCTCCGAGTACGAGTACGTGTATTTGTACTTGTACTTCCGAATACGGCCTTACGGCAAATGGTTCGTTGTGCGTAATTGGCCAAGGCTCAGTCAGACCGATATAGAGACCCACTCACGGCTAGCTGTTAAATGTGTTTGTCCGGACGTGCACAGAGGCAAATCAGGAACTTTGATTTCTCCACAAGCCAATCAACCATTTCAAACTGAAAGTATCGATAAAATAAGGCCGTGGTAAGTCAAATTACAGCCCAGAGTACTGCTATTCGAATACAAGTACTTTAATTTGAGGATTGAGTACAATTTCCAGTACGATTACGAGTACTTTGCTGCCTAAGTACGAGTTTCGTCATTTCGAGTATTAATACTGTGACGGAAAGTGTAGTTGTATGCCCTTGTTCATGTTATTGTATTCTAATCTTATGAATGAACTGTAGTATAGTACGCCCGTGACTGGGCGTGGCTTAGCAGTCAGGGTGTGCGTGTATGCACGCACGCGATTGGTTAACAAAGCCCCATATGTTTAGTGCATCATAATGGTTTAGTGCATGTGCTATGTATGCGCGTAAGTAGATTGCTACGTACGTACGCGCGAGGGTTTCTGGCATGTGGCAGCGAGCTGTACAAACGTGAGTTGAGTGTGCTCTCGCTGTGGCGTGTATTGCTATATTGTGATTTGCGCTATATGCTAGCTACGCGCGGGCGAACTGTTGGACAGTTTAGCCGTACACTTGTGGGTGCATTGTGGTTGATTGGGGCTGGGCCCATGGTTTCGTAGTGCTACGTGCGCACAAACCATATCTCCACAGTGGCACTGATCTATGCAATGCGATATTGTTTAGGCAGTGCAGCATTGGTTGTTGCGTTGCTGTATTGTTTCTACATTGCAGCATTGGTCTGTGCATTGCTATAGCGTTCGTGTATTGCAGCATTGGTCTGTGCATTGCTATAGTGTTCTATATTGCAGCTAGCATTGGTCTGTGCATTGCTATAGTGTTCATGTATTGCAGCATTGGTTGTGCATTGCTATAGCATTCCTGTAATGCAGCATTAGTTTGTGCAGTGATTATTGGAGTGAGCAGTGCGATATTAGTTGTGTATTGCAAATAGGGCTCATATTCGAAAACCACAAGTTGTAATAAAGCTACCCAAGACAATTACTCCCAAATCATTGAATCATTTAATTGTTGTCTCTGAAATAAATCATCGTGTTACTTGAGATTACCGACCATTCAGTTGCCAGTTGTCCTTGTTATTGTGTAATTGCCTAATTAACAGAAGGTTTAGGGATCAATTCCTGCGGCGATAGATTTCCACCCAAAACGAGCCTGCATCCTTAGCCTTTAGACTGCTTTGTGTAGTCCCTGGTCCGAGGAATAACTTGGTTCGGGAACAGTCCCGCCACAAATGGTGTCAGAAGTGGGATTGGAATTGATTAAGCTGACTTCTCTGTTGACTAATAGAATTGCACAATTGGTCTTCACGTGTTGTTGATTTCGGTGGTGATTTTGGGGTTGAGATGAGCGATCCAGGCTCGAAAAGTCGAATTGGCACCTCGAGTGCTGAGGTCGAAGTGCAACGACTGCGAATGGAAAACTAAATACTGCAGTGGGAAAAGGACCTCACTGAAAAGAAGTTGGCGCTAGCTGCCATGGACTTGCAGTCGGGTGATTCCCCAAATGGAGGAAACGGGGGAACGCAAGCCGAGAGTTGGCGTGTGCGCCGTCGTGTTGATTCCGATGTTGAGTTTAGGTTGCCCGAAGAGACATCTGGGTATGTCTCTGGAGCGATGGGGAGAGAGTCAGGTGCAGGTGTGGTGCCTGAGTTGGCCCCTAAAGTGGGGAGGGGGTGAGCTTTATTGAAAGTACACCTCGGAAAGGACAAAGCTCAGGGGTGTTCCCCCGAGCGCAGTCGACGCCTATTTCTAGGGAGACGAAGGGTCCTAATGGGGATCTGTTGTCGTTCACGCCTGAGGTTGGTGTGAGACGGGGTTGGGCGAGTACCAACCCGTTCGTTGAAGATAAGGAATTGTGTACCCCTAAACAGGTACATAGTGAACTGTTGAGTTTCGCGACTCGACCAGTCGAGGCAAAGAACAACAGTTCAGCTCAAGTTGACATCTCGTCAGTGGGTCCGTGGCCACTGAAAAGAGAGGCACGGGTCCATGGTGGTGTGGGTCAGATGGGTAGTTTGGAGCGACCAAATCGCAGGCAAAACATAACCCCTGATCGGTACAGTGGGAAGGTACTCTGGAAGGAGTACTTCCGCCATTTTGAGTCATGTCGTGAGGTGAATATGTGGAGCGAGGAGCAGGCTGCGAGGTGGCTAGCCGCAAGCTTGCAGGGAGACGCTCTACGGTTGTTGGGTGACTCAGGCCACAAGTACAATTATAGCGCACTTGTTAAGCTGCTGGAGCGCAGGTTTGGGTCAGCTCGACAGAGTGAAAATTATCTTGTCGAATTGAGACATCGACGCCAAAAGCCAAAGGAGGGCTTGCAGGAATTAGGGCAAGCGATTCACGAGTTAACAGCAAGAGCATACCCTGAGTTGCAGGAGGATGCTCGGGAGAGGTTGGCTAAGAACCACTTCATAGACGCCGTTGATTGTCATTCAGTCAGGGAGGGCATTCATCGGGCTCGTCCAAAAACTTTGGATGAAGCGGTCCAGGCTGCCCTAGAGACAGAGAACTTTGATAAGGTCGAACAGCAAAGGTTGCTTGACTTGAAGCCCGCCAAGCTGGCGAGAGCTGTTGACTCCGGAACAGAGCAGAGGTTTGACACTTTAGAGAAAAGTCTCGGTGAACAGGCCCTGGCATTGAAGTCTGTGGCTGAATTGGTAAAGTCGTTGTCGACTCAGATCAAGGGTCAGGGTCAGGTTCAGGGCATGCCCCCCAAAACGAACAAGCCCAGTACCCTGAAGTGCTTCAGGTGTGGTGAGATAGGGCATTTCGCCCGGGAGTGTCAGAGACATCCACAACAGGGAAACGGCAGTCAGCCCCCCGTAGGACCCACGGGAAGGCTGAGTGGACAAAAGGGTCCAAAAGACAACAGAGTGACAGCGAGGGTGGTAGTAGAGAAAAGAGGTCAAAGCATGGGGATGGGCAACGAGTAATAACTCTGCCCAACCCAAGTCGCGGCCCTCGTTATGGTTTATTTGTTGATGGAATGGTGAGAGGGACCAAGTGTCGGTTTTTGATTGACACGGGGTCCACCGACACCTTGATAAGTAGTACGGTGTGCTATCAAATTCCAAAGGAGAAGAGACCTGTCTTAGAGACGGAGGAGGTCCAGGTGAAGCAAGTAGACGGTAGTCGATTGCCCGTGCTTGGCATAGCTTGGGTGGAGGTGCAAGTTGGTCGAACCACGCACCAAGTAAGGGCGGTGTTTACCGAAATGAAGTATAGTGGCATCCTGGGCATGGATTTTCTCGTGCCAACAGGTGGAAACATAGACTTCC